AAATTTCAACATAAATCAAGTTATATTTTATTAATAGTTCATATCTTCTAAGAATTAAATAATATTTGTTTCAAGGATCACGTAGTTTTTGGACCAAACATCGCTAAAACACTCCTTGTTGAATCCGAGGTTGCTCTACGACTTGGTACCACAGTGAAGGTTACCGGATGGGGTGGAACGGTTTGTATTCAGACACCTTTCCTATAGCTATCCAACTACCCATATGGAACTTATATGAAACCAAAGTGGAATAAATAATATACATCTGTCTGTCTCTACTTGATGACCAGAATGACTAAATTGATAGATACTCCTACTTACAGTATATATATATATATATATATATATATATATATATATATATATATAAGTATATATTACTTAAAATTACGTAAAGTACTCGTATCTTACTTCATTGTCGGTATTCTGAAAACATTAAATTTGGTATGACAACATCTCAAATGTTGATCTAGATCATTTTGATCGTTTAGTTTTAATCTGCATACAGTACCTATAATATATTCTTCGCGGAACCAAGTCCTATTATAATTGAATTTTTCTTGCTAATAGCAAAAAAGGTTTTATTACTGTATATTTTAAGTAAACATCTCATTCCTTTACTTTTAAGTTTTAAATGAATGACGACACTAACGCTGCTCTGGTACTAAAAGAAACTAACGGATACGAAAGAAATAAAATATAGAAGTTGTTTTACTTCAATGTACGTATCCAGCCCTTTTTAAATGGCCCACTTCTGGGCAATGGCCTCGCTTTAATACGAGGAGGGATCAGGCCATTGCATAGTCTACCACGCTGACCAAGTACAGTGTGGCTTGGCGAACTTCACATGTCTTTCGAAAACTTACTAAATTCTCTCAGATATACAGATTTTCTCACGATATTTTCTTCACCGAGAAACAAGTGGTAATCATGTTAGAAATCGCACATGAAAATATATCAGAGGTGCGAGCGAGACCTAGAATTTAAACCCGCTTCACTCCGTTTCCTAAGCGAGCGCGTTACCACTGGGCTATCATTTATTTCATTTGACATTTTGATATAGTTATTCATTTTACATATCTTCAAAGGTATTTTTTTTTTGATTTGACAGCCATTTAAACAGCGCCATCTGTAATACATTACTATAACTACTTAGTTTTATCCCTAGTGCTCGTGATACCAAATTGTAATAGTATTACAGAATAGTCATAGATGGCGCTCACAAATAGCTTATATACTACAAAAACTTTTTTATGTACGTAATTATATTATTATGATATCAATATTGAGTATTTATTACACTCAACATATATTTGATCCAATTAGTATTTTTCCCAAATTCTTATTCAATTATTCTTCTAATACATACTTTAGCATTTATAGTATTAATGAAATAATGATAAATATAGAGCTTGTTTTGTTTTAAATGATCACTCTATAACACATTTTAAAATACATAGTTGATTTGATATTCACTTTATTTATTTTATCATTTCCTGTCATTATTTTTTCAACCAATTTACGGCAAACAATGTAAACTCCTGAAATAATTAAGTAGATACTTTACTTGTTAAACTATAGGTACGTGTATTATTAGCGAAACTAAGTTATAGTAAATATCTTTATAAATAAAAAAATATCTTATAAATAATCTTTATAAATAAATATAATAATATTTTAGAATTTGCCTGTTAAATATTTGAATTTAATCTTGCAATCCGAAATGATGGTTACGAACAAAATTGAATGTCGAAAGCAATTTGGCGGCGTGATGACTCTATCAAACTTCTGTGTTAAATATAATTTGGTAAGTTATGCGTTTATATTTTGATACCTTTAAACATTAAAGTAAAATCTATTATCTCTCTTATAGATTTAAGTCGTCTTAGTTGCTAAATATTATAATATGATTTTATTTCAAATTTATTAAGAATTATACACCATTTCATTATTATTTATTAATACTTTTTATAGAGGAGATTTTTTTTACTTTTTCTTGTCTCAGATCTCATCATCAAGTGTCTAGCCTAGCAAAACTTTAATAAAGCTCAATTAAATTATAATGACAATTGACATCTGTCAAAAATACCCACTTTGTGTAAGCTTACCACAGATTTTTCTAAAATATACATAATATAAGCCATACCCACTAAATAAGTAAATTATGTTTTTTATTAAGGAGGGGCTCTTAAGTGACAATGGAGGCGGTGCCACATATAAAGAATTATTAGTTGGAATTTTATCGTATGGAGCACACAAACAAAATTCTAATGTTGCAATACTTACAAACGTTTCATATTTTTACCGGCAAGTACATGAAATATAATTTATTCTATGTATTGGTTTTTTGGCAGCAGCTCCATTCGCTTGCTGAGTGGTGCTAGGATAAAAAGAAGCCTACGTTCGTATGTAAAATCTCTCTATCCTTGCCAAATCTCATCGAAATTCATCAATTCATCGTTTTAAACATGAGAAGATACTTTTACATTGATAATATTAGTACCTATAGTAAGCCGTCGAATTAGTCAAATAAAAAATTCAAAGACGAGAATACACTTACAAGACCTTAAAAAAGCAGTCATGAGGACTGCCGACAGAAGTGAAAACTTAAGACTATAAACAAACAGTTCTTATTTTTGTATATTCAAATTAATTGTTTGATCTTAAATTATTATTTTTAAATTCTGCTTATAAACATTTATCTGGTTTTGACATCTATCGGCACTCTGTGTGTTAGCGTTAACACGTCACGTGACCATGTCGATGACGACTTACATTTTACTCCCCATCCAAACCTGCCTATAGAAGTGTTCACTTCAAAAAACAACGTATTTATGTTATATTAACTTTAATCAATCCTCAAAGTTTTCGATTTAACATCCAAGATATTTAATGAAAAATAATTATAAAAATGTAATGACTCATAAAATAAATAAAAGTGTTTTATATATAACTAGCAACTCACCCTCACTCCGTTCAGGTTTGTTCCTACGTTACGTTTACCGTTTAGTGTAGATTTCTTAGAGATGAGATATTTTCCCGCAGTAAAATACCTCATTATTTGTTGAATAAAAAATTTAAACCCTTTTTATGGTTACAATAATGCCTACAAATTTTGAAAAAAACTATTTTCTCTAAAATCAATACTTATCACAATAAACGCGATAAACATTGCAAAAAATCGAGAATGGCCCTCATAGAAGTTTAAAAAAACGCTAGAAAGAAATGTCCTAAATTTCTGCATATTGTTTTTTACTAGAACCACGAAGAATGTGATCATACCTATGTCCTACATATAAAACGATGAATGGTCTTCTAAGCTCAGCTTTTTTACTAAATTTTACTCTAGGTACCCGTTCTTCCATGAGAGCGGTTTGAAAAAAGTGAGAAGTTCGAAAACTGTCTCTGGAGCACATTCGTTTATAAAAAGGCAAAGGCCCCCCTTTTTTTGCATAGGGGCCCAAAAATGCTAGTTACGCCACTGTTCCTTACATTAGGTACTTAGCGATGTCTAATTTAGTTTTTTTATAAGCTAAGTGAATTATAAAAATTACCGTAATATTGGAGGCAGATTTCAAATAGACCCAAAAACAATGTCATTAATTGCGCCCTATCAAATTATTATGCCTAAAAATTAGTTGTTTCATTTGCCACACCATCAGCCAAGAAAATAAAAATAAATGTACTTAAAATAATTGCTTATTAATTTTTATGCAGTTAATAACACTTGATAAATCTATATATATAAAAGAAAGTCGTGTTAGTTACACTATTTATAACTCCAGAACGGCTGAACCGATTTGGCTGAAAATTGGCGGGGAGGTAGCTTAGAACCCAGAGACGGACATAGGATACTTTTTATCCCGTTCGACTGCGTTCCCGTGTGATATTGTTTGTCTGTTTGTCTGTTTGTACGAGCTAATCTCCGAATCTATTGGACCGATTTAAATGAAATTTTGTATGGTGGTACCTTATATCCCCGGACAACGTCTTAGATATTTTTTATCCCGGAAAATATAATGGTTCCCGTGGGATAGTTCAAAACTATTATAACTTATACAACTTATTCACCTAATTTAGTAAAATTTAACATTCTGATACCTTATATTGCCGGTCAAACAACCGGTTACTTTTCATCCGGGAAAAATGAACGGTTCCCGTGGGAACTAATAGATTTTTATTAGTGTTTTTCTAGTAGCTAGTATATAATAAAATGCAAATACATAAGTGTAACTTTATGTTCAACAGTTGGATAGCGCTGAACACAAACAAATTCTTAAACAAATATTGTACTGTCAGGGGTAAGATGAAACATACTGATAATGCAGAATATAATGAAACGTAATGTTTCTTTATAGTCTATGAATTAAAATTAATTATCATTTTCTATTATTTTGCAATAATCCTTAAAAAAATTCTTCACTTGTCGCTTTATCCATTTTCTATAATAAAATACATTTATGTAAATGCTTGGTTTGTTTTTTTTGGCGCAACCATCCCCATGGGATACAACTCCAATAACATTACTGCAATATAAAATAGCGTGTATTTGTTTTTATTCTGCAAAAGTCGTAAAATATTATACAGCCTGGATTATGCGAGGCAACTACTATAGACTATAGTTAAATGCAATAGGTCCTACCAACGGATCTAGAGAAACCTGCATCATTTAAGCAGAGCTAAAATTAATAAAATTAAAAATATAATTTTGGATTATAATATCAGTGTAGATAAAGGGGTAAAGTTTGTGAGCTTGTGTAATCTCTGGATCTACTGAACTGATTTAAATGAAATTTGGTAAGAAGATAGTTTGAGACCCTGGGAAGGACATAGGGTACATTTTATCTCGGAAATCCTTACTGAGAGAGGTGAAAATGGGGATGAAAGTTTGTATTGGGAAGCAGTTTTATATATTTAACTAGATATGCATGGAGGTATGGCAAATACATACGAAAGACGAAAACGTGAGTATAATAACACTAAAATATAAATAATCCTTACTCGTTCCATATTACGCCACCCCCTGAGTCACCCTTACAAGTGTCTCGTATCCCATCTCCATACAAGCAAAACATATCTCTTGTTAATTTTATACGATGCAAATCTTCACATTTTCGCTTAGGTACAAATCGTAGATTTGTTCGCAATAACCCAATATTTGATAACGAACCTGTATTCTAAAAAATACACACGGCATATAAAAAAATTAAACTTAATTAATTGTTTTGACTATTTTTTACCCGCGATAGCCACGGAGGCGGTACATGTGTTTGGGGTAAGAGGTTTGTGTGTGTGAATACCATTTTTCTCGATAACGGTTAGGACGAGTTTGAAATGATTTTTTGATTTGTATAAGTCTCTTTCCTGAGCATGTTCTTAGCAAAGTTTTATAATGTTACAGACCGCCAAGGGGCGCTACAGTACACACATGTTCTTCCAAAACAGTTATTTTATTTAATTAAATGTATTGCATTTACTATTAAAATTTGAAATTTTAAAAAGTCACAAACATAAATTAAACATTTTGAAAATCCACGACGGAAAATTGTGACATGAAAAAAACTTCAAATAAAAAATATCAAAAACCCACGACATGAAAGCATAGTATAGAATATTAATTATAATAATTAAGCCATTCAGTATTAATTTTAATAACAGCAGTCGTGCGTTACCGCAGTATAAGTGCTAGTATATTATTATATAATCTGTGGTAAAAGTAAAGTAACAGCATGTTTTTTTATAAAGCTGGATCATCATCATCTCGTTGCCCATTTCCCAAATTACACAGGATCGGTGCAGGAAGTCCATACTCTTAATTGGTTTTGATAAAAGTTTTCCGAATAGTCACCTGCCTGACGTCAACCTTCTTTGGGAATGCTGTTGTTCGCCCCTAGATCCTTTAGTTGGAGGGCTGGAGAGTGATATAGGCTACTTTTTACCGCGGGAGATTACATCACTCCCACGGTAAAACACGTTATAATACAACCCAAAAAAATATTTATGATCAGAATTACTTGAAACTTGGTATTAATGCTCTCCAATACAATTAAATTAAAATAGTCACCCCTATCACCTCCTAACAGGAATACGTCGAATTACCAATAACCCTATATAAGGGAAGTGAAAAGGGGGATGGAAGATTGAATGGAAAATCAATCATTTCTCAAGTAAGGGACATATTTTTTTATTATTTATAATACCTACTTTTCTAAACCTATGTATGTATATTGTACATATATGTACCTATATGTAGTCTACTCTATACTTACCGTTAAAACGTACCTAGGGACGAACCCGAGCGAAGCGAGGGTGAGTCGCCAGTATTTAATAAAACATCAATATATATATATATATATAATATATATATATATATATATATATATATATAATAGCAAACTGCACGGATAGAATGTGCTACATACATAAGTCATTTTTGTCTCATAGAAACAGCTATAATATATAAATAATACTTACGTTCGTCCATCCCCAACCGATACCAAAAATGGCTTTATTCGTACTTTTCATCCATTTGTTATTATTTACAAGCAAAGCTTTCTGCTTGTCACGACCAAATTTAATAGGATCCTTCACAAATATGAGAGCAATATCGGCATAAAATGTAATAACACTATTAAATTTTTCATGTATCACAAAACTTAATACACGAAATATTTCAGCGTTTTTATCCCTAATATATTTGCCTGAAAGTATTATTATAACAAATTTTGAAAAATAATGTAATTACTCTAATTAAATATTTAATAATTAAAGCCAAATCCCTGTGGAGTTGTAGGAAGTATGCTAGTTGCATTTTCACTGAGTGGCAATGCTTTTCGACGAAATATGAGACGTGGTATTAAGTCTTATAAAAAGCTTTTAGCCAGTCAGTTACGCTGGATACATGCATGTGTACGTTTGTTTTCTTTTTACAGCTACGTGACCATTGGAGAAAGTGCGAGTGTTTTTATCTATACATATAATAAAATTGTAACTAAGCCGAATCTGTACATTAAATATTTTTTGGAAATCTTATTGAAATAAATATTATTATCGATACAGAGAAAGAATCTATAGTTTTTAGAGTTTTTGTCTGTCTGTCTGTTACCGCATCACAGAAAAACCACTGGAAGGATTTTGACGAAATTTGGTATGGTGATAGCTGGTTATCCGGGTCAACATATAGGATACTTTTTACATAAAATATCTCATTTCTGAGAAAAAATACAAAAACTGCATGGTAAGAATATACTAATATGTAAAACCTAAGAATTTGCTTTTTGGTCATTTGGACGAGGGCGGAGCCGCGGGCAATGCTAGTTGTACATATATATGTACTCTAATTTTAAAAAAGAAGTGAGTTTTAAAGTTTGAATGTAGATTACAATCTATATAAACGAGTACGCATCTATGTACAATGTAAGTACATCCCTCTACAAGGTAAAATTTGGAATTCCTGGCCCGACTCTGAAAATTCTTTCATTAACAGGGAGATACATTACAGTCAAGTGCTAAAGGCAATTATTTATTCCAATAATCATTTATCTACTGTAATCATGAAAAATCATAGTAACTTTATATTAAGTCGGATAAAACGTTAAGTTGCTTTATCAGCGAGTGTGCCGTCTAAACGGTTTGAAATAAAGTAATAAAACCTACGGCAAAAATTGAGCTCTAGACGTACTCGAGCGAAATTAGTGGAAATCACTAGAAAGTACCTAATATAATAAAATTAAACTCACTCCTTTGAATATACATGATATCCTTATCCATGTTTTCATCAAAGCAATGTGCAGCCGTAAGTACGCTGTAGCTATTTAATACAGAACCAGCACAAAGGCTTTCATGGTTAAAAAATAATACTGCATAAGAAAACTTGCCAATTTCAGCAGGACGGCCACCAATTATTTTACTTTCAATCTCATATAACCCTGAATCGTTATATGTACATTGTACTGTACCTAATAAGAAAATATAAGCTGCAAAATGTAATGATAAATTCATTCTATCTAAACTCTTCACAAACATACATTATAGAGCATGTAAAATCAGTTAACTCGTAAATTGGTTGACTGCCATTTTATAGCATGTGTATTTTTTATTATTATTACTTAGCATTACTGAGCTCCAATTAAAATCTTATCTTTTGACAAATATAGACTACATACGAAATCCGTGTCAAGTAGACTTTTTTGCCTTACAAGTAGGTCGAGGAAGGTAAAAGATGAAAATCAAACCACAACAAACCAACAAACCAACAAATACTCGAAAGTGTACATAAACTTTATTAAGTTAACATTATATTTGTAAAAGTTATTTTGCAAAGCTATGGATGACGCATATCTATCATATATATACATATCCTATTGATTTAAGTTTTTATAAGTTTTTTGTAAAATATTCCATATGTGATATCCTCCTGACTAATTTCGGCCACGGCAGTAAATCTAACGAAAACTAGCCAACCGCGCAGAAGATATTACAGTGCACAAGAGGCGCGCAGACACAAGTGCACTCTCTATTCCTATCTCTCTCATATTCCGGTGGGACGATAATTCGACGCAACTGATGAGAGAAAGAGCGCAGTGCCAACGGTTTTACATGCTCTCCGAGGCACAAGCGAGACACACCGCCAACTTCTTAACGCCATGCTGTTACTGAGAATTTCTTGATATAAAATCACAATAACTAAACTTGGCCCGACTCGGAACCCGCATCCAGGACCTCCGGATCTGGAAGAGTACACGCTAATCATTAGACCACAGCAACAGGCAGTTATTGCATATATATAAATATATTAGCAAGTGCAGATTGTTCCTTTTTATTTTAACACGGATCAAAATCTGGTAATGAAGAATGGAAATTAATGCAGTTGATTTTTTTTATTCTTTTTATATGGGCGTATTAGTGTCCATACTATTACTTACTAATATTATAAATGTGAAAGTGTGTTTCTTTGTTTGTTTGTACTTTTTTCACGTTGAAACAGAGAGACGGACTGGCGTAATTTTTTGTGTGGAGATAGTTGGAGGGTTGAAAAGTAACAAAGGCTATTTTTTAGATTAATAATAATAATAATAATATGTGGTTACTTATTCCCTGAAACCGAAGGCTTCATGATAGCAATACAGGATCAAGTCATCAATACAAAAAATTATCGAAAATATATAATTAAAGACCCTACAATAGCAGATGATAAATGTCGAAAGTGTCACAAACAGCCCGAGACCATTCAGCATATTACAGGAGCATGCCCAACACTCACGCAGACAGATTACACACACAGACATAACCAGATAGTAAATATAATACACCAAAAATTAGCAATCAAACACAAACTCATCCCAGACACACATACACCATATTACAAATACATACCAAATTCCATTCTTGAAAATAAAAATTATAAAATTTACTACGACCGTGCTATTCTGACAGACAAAACCATCCATTACAATAGACCGGATATTACGCTCCAGGATAAAGTAAATAAAATAGTATATATAATAGATATAGCCGTACCTAATACTCACAATTTAATTAAAACCATAACCGAAAAAATAAATAAATACACAGAACTAAAAGAAGAAATAACAAAAATGTGGAAGATGAAAAAAGTTTTTATAATACCCATAGTACTTTCTACGACCGGAGTAATTCCGAAGCACTTACATCATAGCTTAAATTCTAGACATATCACCAAACTCATACATTAATATACAAAAAGCAGCAATTTTAAATACATGTCGAATCGTTCGAAAATTCATGCAGGATGATACTAATGTAGCTTATCCCCAATTACAATGACGGTTACTTGGTCTTGACCCGTAATCGCCATTTATTTACCAGCTTTTAGCTGAGAATCTATACATAAAAAAAAAAATATTCTTTATTGCACACCGAAAACTAAAATACAAGGAAAAGATGAACAGCAAGCGAGAAGAAGATGATCTCATTCCCACGGCAAAACACTTTATAATACAACCCAAAAATATTTATGGTCAGAATCTATACTAATACTTGAAACTTGGTATTAATGATCTTCGTTTTAGTTAAATAAATAGGTGTTTTAGCATTTTTCTAAATTTTGGATAAATAAGGGAAGGGAAAAAATATGGGGCCAAAATAGGAGCTGAAAGTTTGTATGAAACGTTTGTACAAAATGTTTTTAGAGTTTTTGTTTTGTAGTTTTAGCGCGAGCGAAGCCCGAGGCTTCTGCTAGTTAAATATATAAAAGCTACAGATGGAGTGTTATAACAAAATAATATAAAATGTTATTCTTAAATTGTAACTTAAGAAGCATGTCGTATTTATTCTCCGCTAATTATACTTGCTTATCTCAAAATATATATACATACTAGCGGCTCACCCTCGCTTCGCTCGGGTTCACCTCTATAAAAGTACAAACAGATCTATCCCACGGGAACCGTTCATTTTCCGAGATAAAAAGTAACCTGTTGTTTGACCGACAATATAAGGTACCACCATGCAAAATTTCATTTAAATCGGTTCAATAGATTCGGAGATTAGCCCGTACAAACAGACAAACAGACAGAGAAACTAAAAAATTGAAAAAAATCTAGACTTGTTCTATTTGTCTTCTTACATCCTATATACTGACTCGGTTTTTACCATTTCTTTTCTATGTACAGACATTCGACCTCTACAGTTTTATTATAGTAATAGATATTACTTCCACTTACGTCTTAAGTAATCTAAGCAATGGTGCCTCTCTATCAATTTTCTGAACACAAAGTATTATTACTATAAATATTTTTAGTAGTTGCGGAGAATATCGTAAGCATACATAGATAATTGATAAAAAATGTTGTGATATCCCGTTGTTTTAGTGAATAAAAAATACCATACTTAAAGGATATTTTTTTTATTATGAAATTTACAATATTTCATGGAAATATTTCTGACGTTTTCAGATATCCAGGACCTGAAGTAAAAAACATTCACATACATGCTTGGCGTTTTCGCACAACTTCTTCCATGTGACACAATTCCAACTATAGCCCTAAACCAACCATTAGAGCATTTTAATTTACATCTAAGTGAAACAAAAAAACTCTCCGCATTATTAAGAATTAAAGAATTTATGAAATTTATGAAAGGTATTTCATAAAATATCTGAACTTTAATCATTTCATAATCCAACAATATAAATTATTTTTCCGTAAGGTTAGTATCACTGTACACATACTCGTAAAAGGAAGTCCTCGACAAGGATTTGCGTATAATTTGCGCTAATCTTGAGAACTAATAATTAATGAATTTGGGTGAGATTTTTGCTGTAATGATCCTTCCTTCCTTCTGAAAGATTTTAGTGTATTTAAACTTGCCCTAGCGGAAGGAAGTCTGCCTCGGTAGGCCAGCCGTCGGGGCGACGTGGTTGAGTGCGTAAGTGATTCTACGGACTAGAAAGGTTTCCACTGTGTTTTAGTGGGCACTACTGGTATTTCTAACCGGTAAGTCTCTACATAACATACAAATACATTTTCTAGCTTTATAAATTAAATATTAGGTAATGATTATAAAATTATATAATTATTACTTAGCCTTACCTACCCCAGGTAGCCCTTGTGCTTACCCATTCCATAACACTCCGCCTCCAGAATCGCCGCGACAGCTATCCCTTTTACCATCTCCATGCAAGCAAAACATGTCTGGGCCTAATTTTATATGATTTTCAGCCATACACTTCTCTTTACTTGTATATTTGAGATGGGTCCACTTGAAATCTTTATTGACTAAGCCTTCGCCATACTGAATGAATATTTAAGTGTGAGTAAATATTAAAATGTTATTTATATATAGTTAACTTTATTCTTACTTTATTTTAACTTTATTTCTTTAATAATTTAATTTATAAATTTTCTACTTTTAATTTCTTTAATCTTAAATATAACTTGCGCAAAAAAAACTTGAATTAAAATATTTTGTAGAATGTTTAGGAGTTCCAAGTATTTCCAATATCATATTCATATTTGAAAAATAAAATTATATATGAAAAGCCACTATTCATAACCTTAAAGTGAGCCCATGAGCGACGCGACCCTACCAAGCTGCCAACGTTTGCTTTCATAGAATGAACAAGAGTATCGTTAGAAGGAGGCTCTTAGATGTGTACAAAATTAGAATATTATTAAATATTTAGAAATATAGTATACACTAACATTGCCCGCGGCTCCACCCGCGTTTAGATGACCAAAAACCAAATTCTTAGGTTTTACATATTGGTATACTCTTACGATGCAGTTTTTGTACTTTTTCTCAGAAATGAGATATTTTCTTGCGGTAAAAAGTATCCTATATTTTGACCCGGATAACCAGCTACCATCATACCAAATTTCATCAAAACCTGTCCACTGGTTTTCTCGTTATGCGGTAACAGACAGACAGACCGACAAAAATCCTAAAAACTATAGATTCGGACTCTGTATCGATAATAATGTCTATTTCAATTAGATTTTCCAAAAAATGTTTAATGTACAGATTCGACTTACTTACAATTTTATTATATTTATAGATTAACAAACCTGTGTCTCACCCCAACCAGTCACGATGAACGTTAGATTTTCTTTCATCCACACATTTGTATTAACTAGTATAGCTTTCTGAACCCAAGGACCAAATTCAAATTCATCATGTATTAATACAATTGCAATATCATTAGCAAAAAGGCTTGGATTACCATAACTTTGATGTATTTCGAAATCCCACACTTGATGACTTATTGCTTGCAGATCAAATAAAAAACGAGGATCTGTTACATGAAATAAAAGTTCTTTAAATATGTTTTAACTATTTCACACCAAAAACCAAGATTAAATGTACATACATACATACTTGCAAAAATTTGCATTTCAGCTAAGTTTTTATTGTGGTCGAAACAGTGCGCTGCTGTTAAGACAGCTTTGCTAGTAAGAATGGTACCACCACAGAGACCGCCATAATTAAATATTTGGACATAGTATGGGTATAGCTTTTTTGTCGTAGTTTCTCCTCCAATTATTCGTTTCTCTAAATTTTTCAAAACATTGGTCCAATTTCTTGAACTCTCTCCCATATCTTTTAAATGACATAAAATGTGACTTATGTGAAGCGTGAAATAAAGTAATGTTCTTTTTAGTACTGCACTGCACTGCATTTTATTACAGACGTAAATGCAACGGTATGCAACAGTGGATTGCAGTAAATCTTTTAATAGTGGTTTTTAATGAAGTTTATAAAATAATTACGGTTATATAAAAAAATGTTAAATATTTATGCATATGGCCAAAACTTTGCCTTACTTATGAGATGTTAGCTGTTCTACATTCGCTTTACAAGGTATGCCATTTATGACACAAAAATCTATACATATAATAAAATTCTAACTGAGTCAAATCTGTACATTAAATATTTTTTGGAAAATCTTATTGAAATAGACAATATTATCGATGCAAAGACCAAATCTATAGTTTGTAGAATTTTTGTCTGTCTGTCTGTCTGTTACCGCGTCACAGAAAAACTACTAGGCGGATTTTGATGAAATTTGGTATGGTTATAGCTAACTATCCGAGTCAACATATAGGATACTTTTTACCGCGGAAAAATATCTCCTTTCTGAGTAAAAATACAAAAACTGTAATGTAAGAGTATACTAATATGTAAAACCTAAGAATTTGGTTTTGGGTCATCTGAAAGCGGGCGGAGCCGCGGGCAATGCTAGTAAAATATAAAATAAATGAAATATTCTGCATAATAATACAATACATATTCCTTCTACATAAAGTGACGTTTGTTGTGACTTCAACAAATTGTTAATAGTAATTAATGGTCTCTGCTGAAACTTAGTTGTCTCCTTTCCGCATGAAAGACTTATATTTAGAGTTGAGATAGAACATTTGCGGTATTGTGACAGGCACGAAAGCGCGATTCTTGCCGCCCGCCTTCGAAGCGCGCAGTCAGTCGCCCACCGCCGGCCGCCAGCAGCGCCGCGCGCGGCCCTCCCTCGCACTACATAACCTACCGCGGCCTAATCATAATACGACAATATAAACATTTCTGTATAAATTACTATCTAACATATCATTGGAAATTTGTACAAATATTCGGGACTCGAAAATTACGCATTGTTTTAAGTTAAAAACTTGATTTAAAATTAGGACAACGTCCTAAACAAAGGTGTATATCGATTCTACGGTTTCATCTGGGAAGAATATTAAAAATTTTGATATTTTTAACAATACAGAAATTTTTTAAGGTAAGATAAATAGTAAGTTAAATATAAATATTTAATTTTATCGATATAATTGTTCTAGTTAAAACACCTGTTACCTTCAGCTCAGGTTTACGACAACATGATTCTATAGCTCATAATTATAAAATCAAACGTAATCAAACATTTCAGCAATAAAATTTGAATTTATGATTGTACTCTTCTTACAGCTTAAGAATTAATAATAATTTATTAGATTTTTTTAAATATAAGAGAATTTTTCGTGCTCGATTACCTATAGGAAATTGTTCATTACATACCAATATGGAAAGGAAAATGAGACTGGAAATTACCTACAAAGCAACGTAGTATTTAAAATTACTTTTGTCTTCACTACTTGGTATTTACATATACAGACCTATACCAAGACCTATACCAAGACCTATACCAACTCACTTAACGGTGGAGTTTCATGAATATAATTCTTATTTCTTAACATAAGCGCTACTTGTTCTCCACATAACTTTAATACGTGTAACTTATATAATAATATGCTGTAGGTATGGAGATCAATTTCTAAGACTTTCTGAAGAATAATACCTCTTAAGCCAATCCTATTGTACTTCGTTCACATGTGAGGTTTAAGATGTATTGTTTATATCGAACCAGAAGCATTAAAAATGTAGAGCCCTTAACTCTATATTTATTTTTTTTAAAACAACAGCTTTACCCTTCCAACATATTTGAAGTAAAATTGCTGCTGAATAACAAACACTGAGATGCTTTAATTGAGCGCATCGAGAGCTAGCAATGCCGTTACTCGAGCGAGAAAATTAGAGAATAAAACAACGCATAATAAGAATGAAAATTTAACATAATACCTACTTCAAATATTAAGTTTCGTTTCAAATCATACGTCTAAAATTCGGTAAATCTATCTGATATTATTATTCACATAATATTCAGTATTTTAATATATTTTCGTAAAATATACATATAACGTTGTTGTTCACATATACGTATTAGTTGTTCATTTTAAGTCTTACCAAGCCTAAACAATATTATTAAAAATTCGGATTGTTTCTAGTATGTCACTTTTCAAATATCTATTATACATTTTGTGGAGTCACATATAATTTAAAAATTTTAAAACTCAAATAAATATTAAAGGCAAAATGTTTAACTGACACAATCACTTAAAACAATTTTAATTGCAAGGTTCAGTCAAAAATAATTTTGAACGTTTTTTTCCGTTAGAAATAATTTTGTCTGGTTAATATTTTTGACAGTAACATTCTGAATGATAAAGGAAGAGAGACAAGAAATCATCTTCTCGTAAGAGAAGAGACAGTCATTCACATGACACTTCCTCTCCTCGCCAAAGTAAAGAAAATAATTTATTTCCCAGATTTTACGTGAAACGCGACAAATACAAAAATAAACGACCATAAGACGAGTGAGTTCAACTAATCGAGCGTTGTAATCGCGTTACTGTGCGCGTAAAACTTAGGGTTGCCCAATAAGAAAATTTTGCTATTTTATTTTTTGCGTAGTTCAGTTCAATTTTATTTAATACTAGTGACTCACCCTAAATGCATTTTAACGGATAATTGGGTATAGATATATATACCTATGTATGTACATATTAACAATATATATATATATATATATATATATATATATATATATATATGTATAATGAGTTTTATATCACTTACTCGAAAAATAATTGGTTCCCCATACAAACTTTCATCCCCCTTTTCATCCCTTTAAGGGATGATTTTCGGGATAAAAGTCCTATGTACTTTTCACTCTCAAACTATCTTTATACCAATTTTTTTCCAAATTGGTTCAGCGGATGTTTAGTTTATCCATTACAAACAAACTCACAAACTTACAAACTTTAGCTCTTTACATTATTGGTGTATCTTCACGTGATTTAAAAATACATATTTTTAAAAATGTAAACTAGTTACCTGCCTGCGACTTGACCGGTTTACCTATACTTATTTAGTTCGCAATCAGTAATATGATAATCTTTGCATAATCTGAAAGCGTTAAAAAAGGGGGAATTCAAACTGTTGAACATATAATATAATCTAATACTGAAATAAGTCTTAACGAAGTTTAAAGCAAGCTATTATCTATCTGTGTAACAAAAGAGGCCGATTAAAATGCCAGTGACCAATTATGTGAAAAGTAAATAAAACAGTAAGACAGCAATTCTAATAGTTATGGATTCAAAATAATGTTAGAAGTAAAAATAAAGAAGTGACAGATAGTAATTTTAATGTGTAAGGTTTAAAAAATTTACTTCATATACAACATTGCTAGAAAATAAACTACAATGGTGTAGGGATCTCAAAGCTCAATTATTTAATAATTCCTTTAAAGTTAAAGAAAAATGTTGGTAGCCATTGAAGTTTTCACATCAACCCTAAAGACTGATAGAGCTATTCGCGCCTAAATTGACTGAGCACTGGCACCGCGATGGATATCGTTCGTTTGGGCTTTACAACTTTATAAACTACAGAAAATATAAAATAATGTTTCATATATCGGCATTTATGAATAATAAATGCATTTATGGATAAAAAATTAATAAACATAAGCTTACGAAAAATGAAATGATTAATTATAATATCATTATTATCCAAATCATATTATTATCGATAGAGAGACCAAGAATCTATTGTTTTTAATTTTTTTTGTCTATGTATCTTTTCGGATCGCATCACGGGAAAAACACTGGAAGAATTTTAATTAAATTTGATATAATATTTTATTTTATTTTTATTTATTTATTTTAGGGAAACAAACAGTACGATATTACATAAATAATTAATAATAATAGATGACACATAAACCAATGTATGTAGATTATTATCCGGATCAACATCTATACTATCTATACTAATAAATGGAGAGCCGATTTTTTGTTCGCTTATACTGAGATAACTGAACCGATCGGAATAATACTCATACCGTAAGATGCGGCATGTTTCGAAGAAGGTTTTAGTATATGATATGCTGGTGATTAATTTACTATGCGGATGGAGCCGCAGAAAACCGCTAGTTATATTATAAATGTGAATGTTTGTGCGGGAAAATATCTTATTTCTGAGAAAAAAAAACTCTAATAAAACCGCGCTTAAACTATAAACAAATTAGAACATACATATATATATTAGTAACATTTAATAAGGTACCTACAATATGTAAGATAACTTGATTTCCTTACTTATCGGGTGTATTATTTTGTTTAATAGCCGGTGAATAGTTAAATGTAATAGTCTGCCTTTTATCTGGTATATTAAATGGTTCCTGCGGTATACTCGTATATATAAGTATGTTTATTATTGCAACTTTCTGAAGGTTGTTGTTAGGGCTTGATAAGGAGGACGTCTCCATAAGAAAACATATAAGAGTTGTATCTGTTTAATTTAAAACATAGTCGTAAATAAACTGTTCGTTATCCTCAAGTATATAAATTGCAAACACGAATTATCCTATGAAATAAACCTTGTCCGCGATATCTGACCGGTCGACCTCCTATCGATTCTGCCGTTATATTCATATGTTAGGTTAGAAGGGGACACAATCAAATCAAAATTAAGTAATTGTAGAGATATAATAATATAATAGATACTTAATTGAAAAATAGGTCAAGTTACACAGTGCCATTTGTAAATATTAGAAACACACAATTTATTTATTCTGGAGCTCGATGTAATGAAATCTATATTTACGTATGACTTTCTCGGTGGTCTAGTGGCTAACATGTACGCCTGCAGATCCAGAGGTCCTAAGTTTGAGTCCCGGGTCCGGCCAAGTTCAGTTAGTAAGTTTTTGTATATCATTAGCGT